AGATAAGAACCAGGTGCGCAAGTGGAAGAAGACTCTCGGCGTAAAAGATAAAGGCGCCCAACGGGCCAAGCAACGCTCGCGACCCCTTAATTAACCATAATTACCACGACACGGCGGCCCCGGCGGACTGAAAGAGAACATCACCCGGAGGCCTTCTTCTCTGCCCTTAGACTTTCGAAGGAGCGGAAGCTACGCTCCGTAGAGCAAGTATATAAATACGCGCATCTCCTGTACTTGAGGCTTTTAGCTCGTTTTGGCTCATTTGTCGGCCAAGAGACGAGAAATCGAGCAAGAAGACAAACGAGATCTGGTTAGCTGGGCTCTGTCAGAGGGTAAGGGATGAGGTACCGTACGGTATCGTCTGCGTTTTTTATTGGGCCTGGACAACTCGCAGTTCATCCAAGTTACTTGCGTTCAACGTAACGTTGGTAATTAAAATAATTGGTGCTTGGCATGCGCAAAGTAGCGCGTTATTGAATTATAATTTGTATTTTTTCCGAGTTTTGCTCAAATCAACGAAATCCATTTCTTTGGAATCAAGGCCTCTCTCGCGAAAATACATTCCACGTGCGCGTACTCGAAAATCTGGCCCACGGTACATGGTCCTTCTTCACATCGTCCGCCCCACTCGGGCACGTACACTCCCGAAGCCACGGCCAAGCACAAACGGAATTATTTATGAGCTTGAATTTGAGCCAAAGCTCGCGGACCCTATCTCTCCTGTCCCACGTCTGTTTTTCCCTCTTGCGCTGGCTCTTTGCATGGATCCGGCTGCCCTTCCGGCGCGCATCCCGAGTACGGGGACTCCCCCTTTTTTTTCGACGATACCGGCGAGGGCCTGAATCTTCGGTTCTGGCGCGTCTTACGGGCTTGTGCTCTCTGTACTTATAAAATATTCCAAGATTAGTGTGAACAAGCGAGATGCCATAAATTTATCACTTTTCGCAACTCAGCATAATCATCCCTGGGGATTACGCTCGGAAAAAAATAGATGCTTTTTCCGTAGCAGTTATTTATAAGCGTTTAAAAGTACGATAAGCTTTTTTGCGTGTGTTTTTCCTTATGGCCTTCATCGCCAGACCGGTAAAACGAAAAAATTGTTTATAAAAAGGATTTAAAGTATTAATGTAGGTCTTGGAGAACAGTACAAAATCAAGATTAACCGACGTGTTCTCTGCTGTTAATGGTACTTGCAGTTTCGCCTCGTTTTTTCAATCAACATCCCTTACGGCTCGGAATCGAAAAAATCATCTCTCACGCTTCTTACCCGGATAAAAACAGAAGATGCAAAAAAAAAAATAAATAAACAAAAACAATGAACCAGCCAGGTGTAGAGTTCAGACCAGGGCCGGATTCCACGGCGTGTCTCTCTTCTCCTCGCGTCAATGTTACCACCGCGAGTGGCCGTGGCAGGGAGAGGGCCGTCCCAGAGAGATCCCCACCTCTCCATTGTCTTCCTCATCCTCCCGTTCCCGCCCGCTAGGATAGCATTGCAGTCACCCTAGTTCGGCCGAGTGCCAGCGGGTGGCGCCTGAGACTGGAACAGCTCGGGCCGGGCAGACGTATACTTTGTTCCCTGATTTCCTGTTACCTGTACTCTCGGCGACTGAGACCTTGGTCCGCTGCAGTGCAGGGTAAAGTTGAAGTTTTCATGGTTGGAGCGAAAACAACGGGGCCAAACAAGTCAAAAGAGTTGAGTTCTTTTGTCATCAAAAAAGTTTGATGCTTGGAAATATAAAGATTAGATTTTTTACGCAATGCGTGCCGACTGGCTGAATTTGCTCGGTAGAGTTTAAGGAATTTCATAATAACAACTGTACATAGCAATACGTATGAAAGGGGCAGTGAGACCCGTATCGATCGATTAAATTTAATAATTTCTCAATGGAAGAATCGTTAAACAACCCTTTTTTCAGTTCAAGAGCTCTGCAACTGCCATTTTTTCTCATGAATGTTACTACCAGCAATCGACAGTATCCACCCACCCGTATCGTCAACACACCCAGCCCGTTTGGGCAAACAACAAAATCAGCCGCAGGCCAACACGACCAACATCGCTTTGTTGCGTACTCGTCGGAAAAATCATAAAAATTCACGTGATCGCAAGCACGAGACATTAGTAAAAAAAAAAAAAAAAAAAAAAATCGAGAAAGAGAGCCATGCACGCAAATAAAGAACAAATTCCGGATAGCGACGTAATTTTTTTTTTGGCGACAACGACTCCCCGTGAGCGCCGACGGGTGAATTATATTTTCCTGCGACACTTTTCAAAGTTAATCAAACATTTCGCCCACACACGCGAGTGACACTTGATTCTGCTCACTTTTGTGCTTTTGCTCTTCTTCCTCTGTTTCTCTCGCTTTCGGCGTCGATCCGAGAGAGAGGGCGGGTGTGGGGGAAGGAGCATCACATCGAACAACAAAGCCTCGGGAAAAGCGGCGCCGCGGAAAATACACGGGTATTATTGTCCTATCGGATTTTATTGCGCGTCCCCGTAAAAATCACTTTTGTCATAAATTATTCACCCTAGCTTGACTCTCTCTACCCCCTTTTTTTTTGTAGTACACGGCAAAAGGGCGCTGGAATCCTCTTTGTTATTATTACCAGAGATGCGATCAGGACAGTGTTTTCGTGAAAAGATTTCCCTGGACGATTCGCATGGTCAAAATGACGCAAGATAAAATTTTTAAAGCAGAAATCGACGGCGCGCATTATACGCCTCGTGGCGGCTTTGTCCGCGGGATATTTATTGCTAATCGAAACGCCTGTTACGAGAGGAATAGCATAATGAGTGTTGGAAAAAAATACGATAAATTGGGGTGGACTAGCTGCAGGTAAACAATAAAAAATCCTCGGCTCATAATTCACCGTGAAAGTCTCTCGAACTCGAGCGGCAATAATTTTTCATAATTTAAAATACAGTTTACCGTAATGTTCAACGTCAGCGTGTCCACGGGATTTATCAGGATATCTCGGGGACTCGTGTGTCCGAAAGCGCAGTGGCAGCAGCGGCGAGCCGTGCTGTTTTATCGGACCATGTTAATATTAATCCGACGTGTCGCGCTCAAAGGGAGGAGGAAAAAGAGCCCGTCGTTTTTTCAAAGGGTTGACGCGGCACTGCTGGGCTTCCTCCCTCCGCTCTTTCTATTTTTTGGAGAAACGTAATGATGCAGGAATCCACTGGTTTGCTTGTTTCGCGATGATCATGTGTAATGGTTTTAGAGCTTCCTGTCGCACGTGTTTTTTTATCAAAGGTATCTCATTACGATCGCGTATGGCCTGGGAAAAAAAGCTTTTACAAATAATTAAAACTTGTGCGTGCTTGCCCCGATGAAAACGCACGCTTAACATCGGTTTAATGAAATGGCTTTAAATTGAATTGCACAAATGGGATTTCATGCTTTTGCAAAAGTACACGGTTAGTTCACGTTTCAATTACAATGTTACTTTTCAATTACCTGTTCCCATAAATAGCGATATCGCGAAAGATACCAACATAGCTTTTGTACGAATTCATTTAACGGATTTTTAGTTGAAATCAAAAGTTACCATCACACCGTACACCCTAAAAAAGAGAACTTTTCGTTTATTTTTACGATTTCACTCGTTATAACTGTACGCAAAAGTATCAAACTCCCGTGTTGTATCACGTTTCACGGATTTTTTAAATGTTCGTATGACCGCATCTCCAGCGAACTTTTTCAAAAATTTTCAAATACTCGTGCTTTCAGCAGCGATAAAGACCCCCCATATGATTTTTCGCTCGTACAACAACCCCGCGAAAGTTAATTAAAAAAAGCTCCCAAAGCCCTTCATCGAAAAAAATCATGATCAAATGCTCAATCCTAAATTCAAGGAAAATGAATTTCAACGTCGTATAAGGAACTAAAAATAAAAAAAAAAAAATGAAAAAAAAAAACTGTGAGCACCTATAACAGCGAACAACCAGCCCTGTACTCCCGAAAAACAGACCAGCAGCGTCATCTCTCGTCCAGCCTCAGCGTCACGCAAGCTCGCGAACAGCTCCCCCGCTAACTCGGCTCGCAGCAGCTTGCACCCCCTCGACTGCCGCAACAACGATTCTTGTCGCTCCGTCGGGAGCCTCCACCCCTACCCATATCCCACCCTTCCACACACACGATCGCGAGGAAAAGCTCCCGTGATGCGCGCGCCTGGCTCCATCCCCACCCCACCCTCCTGCCTAATGGTAGGGGGGGGCAAGGGATGAAGGGGGAGAAGGGTAGCGGTGGCAGTGGCACCGAGGACGGTGCAGTGGTGGCTCCACGCTTGTACAAGCCAGTGTTGAGTGGAGTCCTTCGCGGTATTCGCCGAGCCGAGTTGCAGCTGCACGTCCGTCGGACCCGAGCGAATAACCCCCCGCGAGGCAAGCCAATTTTCCGAGGCACCGTACGTGACGTAACAACTGCCCTCTCTCTCTCTCTCTCTCTCTCGTTTTTTCCCGTGCACTACTCGAGTCACCTCGATCAACGCTACCGTCAATTGTTGCCACTGTCAATACTGGCCCAGCGGTAAAGCTGCAATTCGCCGGGAGGTGTGCGCGAGGGAATCCAGCATGTGCCCACGGGAGAAAGTACGTCTAGTCTTGTAAACAAAAGGAGGACAAGACCTTGGTCTGGGTCTCGTGCCGGAACCCAAGTACAGAGGGGTGAGAGAATCGGGGCATCGCGTCCGTAACAAGCAGCACTACTCGGGAGCACTAGTCGCAGTTATGCCACGAGGTACTTGAGCAGTGGCAGCATCTCGAAGTTCTTCCGTCTCGAGAGCCCATCATCCACTCGCTCGCGTTCCCTTGGGGGCGGAGGGGCGGGGGACAAGTTGGAGCACGAACAGACGACTCGAAATTATTCCGGGCGTAATGCGAGCCTCGTGAAGAAGGCAGATATACGCGCCTAGTGGCCTAGGGGGAGGGAGAGGGGGACATAAGCGTGTGGATCAAGAAAAAAAAAAAAAAAAAAAAAAAAAACTCGAGCGGGGATTGCTTTTCCCTCCCTCTCGCGGGGTATCGGGTGCGAAGAGCCGGGTCTTGCGTCCTCCGGGGACTCTGGTATATAGTACGAGTGCAAGTATATTTTTCGTCGAGAGTGTGTGTGCACGGATAAAGGAAGCAAAGATGCTGACCATGTCGACTTTGATGATGCCGACGACGATGACGACGATGACCAATCCCGGGCCCATACCGGCTCATAGTATGCCGCTTCAGCAGCAGCAACAGCAGCCGCAGCTGCATCAGCAGCAGCCGAAGCTCGAGCCGCCGAAGCTACAGCCGGTGCCGTCCATCGCTCACGCGCCCAATCAGACAACCAACCCCAATAAATCAGGTCGGTGTTTGTGCGCTTTTTACACTTTTTTTCTTGTTTTTATCGAGGCGACCGAAAGGGTTGGAAAGTATGTTGTCGTCTAATCTAGCTGCGATTGATTTTGGGGTACGTGGATGCGTAGTGCGTAATTTACCGATGGTATATAGGAAAGTTGCGTTTAGTGGAATCGATTTTTCTTCTGCTTTAGAATGAATTTTATTTTAAAATCTTTGCTTCCGCTGGGAAAAATTTATTGTAGACAAATGTAAATTGTACAGAGCTGTGTGAAATTTTTTCTCAGCATACATTGTGTAATAACTTTATCGGGTTCCCGTTTAATCAACAGCTTTGTTTTGAAAATGAGATCATACCCCTTTGAAAATTTCATTTTTTTAGTTCTTAATCACAAAAAAAAAAAAAAAAAAAAAAAGAGGTTTTTATGTACCCACCGTTTGCAGTCGGTAGGAAATATATTAGAGCTTTAATTTGTTCATGTTTGCTAACTTTTTTTATGTATTTTCTACGAGATTTGCTTTGGATAAAATTAAATTTATGAAACGGATGATGGATACATGTATCTTTGAGAGACAAAAAGTAAATTGGGAAATTGTTTTTTCATTTCGTTAAAAAACAAAAAAAATTTTTTTTACATTTATTTAAAATATTAATCTAACATTTTTTGAGTATTTTTTCCTAATTTAACGGGGCATGATTCCAACCCATCACTTTAACCTACATGTCGAGAGTGTAGATTTTCCTTGAAAAGGAGTTAAGGGGAATAAATCCATTTTCATCAGACATGCGTCTTATTTCATATTACACAACCAAATACAATTATTGTACAAACGATTATCATTGATTACTCCTCGAAAGAAATTCACCCTCTTTTTTATAATCTCACAAGACCAGTGCAAAAATTGATAATAACAACTCAAAAGGCACAGTCATCAAAAACACAAAAAAGCCAAAAACAATACAAAAAACGGTGAAGGCAAACAGAACGCCATTCCCGAGTCAAAAATGCTCTTCCTCTTAACGAACGATCGACGCGCACCCCCTCGAATTTTCCGGCAAGAAGCCAGTGTTCGTTTTCTCTCTGGTGAGCGAACTGGTTTTTCACTGCTACGATTCTAGCTGACGGTGGGGGAAGGGGGGGAAATTGGAGGTTCTGCCGCTCCATGAAAGACCGGGGAAAAAGTAAATATCGGAAACAGCTCCATGCTGGCCTTCTTTTCTATTTTTTGTTTCCATTCTATCTGGCCTCAAGCTGCCAGCAGTTATCGGAATGATTTGCTCTTTTTTTTTTTTTTTTCATTTCAAAGTTACCACGCGAGTTTGTTACTGGGTTTTGTCTCGCGGTTTCAAAGTTGGAGAATTGGCTGGGAGAGTTTGTCGGCCACTACAGGGTCCGGGAGGAATCGGCGCGAGTTCGGGAAAATATTACATTACACCGGAAAGGGTAAAAATGCTTATTTCGGGCGGTAAAGAGTCAAAATTTCTTTATTATTTATACAGATTATAAAATCAGCTTATCACGACAGCCTCTCCATATTTTTGGTTGGTATCAGTTGTTCTTGTTTTACCATAAAAGGTAAATTTTTCAGGGTGAAGCAATTCTTTAAAAATCAAAGAAGCAGTTGCTTGAACCAAAGAAATCTAAGTTCCCGCCGGATTTATTGTTCACAACGAGAGCGTGACATTTTTTGGGATCAAGAGAAATCTAAAGTAAAAAAAAATCACTAGAATCACCTTACACCTTTCAAATGTCGTAACATGTTTTTAATACCTAATGGTTATGGACACGGGCTCATTTTGCCTCAACGTCATATCGTACGTGTCAACAAATACTGTATTTACGCTTCGCAAGAAAAAAATCCTGTCAAGCGTGAAAAAAAAACCGTAGTCTGGAAAAAAAGAGTCAAAACCACGCATCATCGGAAACAAGAGGAAAAAGCCATTCAGAAGCGATAAAAAAAGGGGGGAGTAGCATTCCGCGAGCGAGCGACGACTCCACTAGCACGGCGAGCATTGTTTCGAACTCATTTATAAAAAAATACGCTCTCGAGCGCGTGGTCGCGCGGCGAAAAAGTTTCCGACACAGGCGCCCGAATGCATGTCAGTAGGTCGATCCGTATTTTTTCGGGATCATCCACCTCCTGCCGCTTTCCTTACTCTTCTCCCTCCCTCGTACGGTCGTGAAAGTTTCCGGGGATATCGGTGAAGGGCGCAAATCTGCGAGGGCTATACGGTTGTAAATTGATATTTTTTTTTTCTTTTTTTTTCCGACGGGATGACTAATGACAGAGGTGGAAGTGAAAAAAAAATTCCAAAGAGCAAAAGTGTGTGTACATGTGCGCACAAAGGAAGCAGGAAGGACTCTAAGGATCCCGCGAGGAATAATAAAAAAATGGGGGATGGGGGCAACGAAAGAAACAGAACCAAACCAATTTCCCTGGATTTCGCAGCTATGAAATATTCATGAAGGCACGTGTAAGCGCCAAGGTGGAAAAGTTGTAAAAACAATGGAAGAAAAAAAAATGATAGCAGCTGTAGGCGAAAGTTCCGCCAAGTTTAGCGGCTGTAATTTTTATTGACGAACACAAGTACGGCCGTCGCGACTTATCTCTCACACGTATATGTATGTATAGGGAGCGCATAAAACTTGACTCGAGTGTTACGTAAGAGAGCCCGCAGCAACTTCTCTAGGTATACTGTAATCCAGTTTTGCTCGGCCGACGGATTCAGGCCGATTGACCCCTCGATCTTTCCAGCTTTTTGCCGTTGCGTAACTCGGCCGGGTCGAGTGTCACGGCGACGGCTCTGATGTGCCGCTCTGATGGAAATGATTGCTTCTATTTAAGTTCCGCTTGTTAATTGATGAATGTATAAAGGTTTGGATACCAGCGAGTACTCAATCATTGACAGATTTTGAAAAGTCAAGCGAATTGTTTTTAACCATACAAGCCTTTAATTAGTTGGAAAAATATAAAATTGTAGACTAAGGGCTATAGTACATTTTGTTGGAAACTACGCAACGGAAGTTTATTTATTTTTATTTTCCGTAATTGCCTTTATCTTTCATCGATGGCATGGATAGCTTCTACAAACATTGGTATTTATAAAGCTAGAGCATTAAAAATATTTGATTCTTTTTTTATTAAGGATTTGAAGAAAAATCAAGCAAGTTTTCAATGTTATAAGATGTTATTACTCTCAAGTCGTTTCTCAAAAACATTTTGTTTAAAAAGTAGTTATTTTTGATAGTTTTTTTTTTTTTTTTTTTTTTTTTTTTTTTTTTTTTTTGAGGTCATCTCTTCAGATAGCCAGGGCGTATCGATATAACCCCTAATATCAATGCAAATTTCGGCCAAAAGGGAGGCCAAAAGTGTAGTCTACCATTAGCCATATCATACAAACGTATAATTATTTTTTATGCACGAAAAGCTCTCAACATTAATTTCATGTGAAAGCCCAGCTTTTGCTCTCCAACTACGCACCGCTGCACGCTAATGGAGAGTTTTATCGGAACCTCTTTTAGCTCCACGCTCGGAATACTATTCATAATTTCCGTGATTTTGGAAGAGTGCGGCTTTGGAATCGTACTCGATTTTAATTTTCATCGAGTAATCATCACTGCGGTGTTTATTGCATCCGCAAAAGCGTCGGGTATACATAATTCTTCGATAGAAACTGAAATGACACACATTCGTAATCGTATTGCCGATCGGGAAAAAGAGACGATTAACGATTCACTGATCACTGATGAACGTCCCAGTGGGTAAGATCTTCATAAGCGCGAGTTGGCTAAAAAACCGGAGCAACCAATTGGCAGCACGAAAACCAGACGGGCTCTACTCCTCTGATTCCCCCCGAAGAGCAATAACGAGAAAATGAATTATTTCCACACACGCGGAGATCCAGTCTTTATTTCGAAAGGCTGCACGTACGCGAGGCAAAGACAAGCAGTGCGGAGAGCCATGAGAGAGAGAGAGAGAGAGAGAGAGAGAGAGCGGGAGAAAGGTGAGAAGTACGTGCCGTGCAAGCTCCATAGTCCCCGGGAATATTTGGGAATGTTATTAACACAGCTCACGTGTGTGTGCGCGTGTACAGCGTGCGCAGACACATGCAGGCGAGGCTTCATAATTCAGGCTCGAATCGCGGGATTCTCGGTTAGCAATAACCGCGAATACCCCAGCCGGCGTCTTCTTGGTGTATATTCAGAACGGGGGGAGAGGGTGTTCTCTGGTTGAGTTCGAAGTGAGGAGCGAGTGTGGAAGGAGAGGGTGGGTTTCGGTGGAGGTGTGTTGTGCGGTCGGGTCTTGGGTTGTCATTGGTACAGGTTGGTTTTTTTTGTTTCTTTTTCTCTTTTTTTCCTTGCGTGATTTAATGCTTCGAAAATCTTACGATTTTTCTTGTGCACCTGTTTTGGAGTTCCCATCAAAAAAGGATACAATGGATGGGCGAGACAGTTTTCTCTCTGATCAAACATTTTCTGACAAGGTTAACCGCTCATCCTGTTGAAGTAGCTGAAATGTACACTTTATTACCGTTGAATTGTTTTTTCAAGGAATTTTAACCAAACAGTACATAGTTTTCATAACTTTACTCAGTAAAGAATAAAACAACTTACTCAATTCCATTGCATTTTAAAAGTGCATTAATTTGAGCAACCACAGTACCGTTACCAGAATATCGCCAGCAGGACAATGCGATACAATACCCAGATTTACCCCAAACTAAACATAGAAAGCTCTCTTTGCTCGACATACATATTCATAGGTTTTTTGCCCCCCAAATATCGAAACGCCGTCATCACGAGGCAACAGAAGCCAGCACAGGTAAGAGCCGGATAGTAGCGAGACAGTCAGTGCTGCAATGGGCTGGACTCCATGTACGAACGAAAACGAGTTGGAGCCCATTTGCCGTGAGCTTTAATGCGACCAAAGGCTAGTTGAGTTTCCACTCGCGTATCGGCTGTGTCTCCCACAACTATGTGTTTGTATGCATAAATGCAAATGATG